TGATTATGGTTTAATAAAATGGTATAAAAATAAATAAATATATTATTTTATTATTATTATTATAATAAAAAAGATGTTTTTAATGTTATTATTAATGTATGGTTGGAGTTGATTTTTTTAGCGTTCAATAGACTCATTACTATTTTTAGTGATTTTAGTGTTTTATTTTTAATAGCTGGGTTGAAGATAGTGTTATAGGAGTTTTTATAAGAACTTGTTTTTCATATTTTTCATGTCATATCATTTGTAACTCATCCAATTAGTTAATAACTCAAATAAAAATTGATACACACACAAAAAAAAAACGGAATTAAATAAAAGTTGTAACAAAAAAAAAAGATGTATAAATTGTTATGATATTGTAATTTTAGTGTATTCATATAACAAATGTATATTTAAAATACAAAAAATGGTTGTTAAAATTATACAAATATATGTCAATTTTAACTTAAGAATACACAGCACTATTTAAAAATAAATTAAAAAACTAAATAATTATCTATAAAAATTTAAACATAATAATATGATAATAAAAATAGAAAATGGTAGAGGAAATGAAAAATGTAATAAGAAAAAATAATGATGATAAAAAAATGAAAAAGGAAAGAAAATATTAATAATATAACATACTTTTAGTAAGTATTAATAAAGAAGTATTCATGTAGCCCCCTTAAATAATATTTCATTCATCCCAAGAAGATGCATAACTTAATAAATCTTTTTGACTTTTGATCATACCTACCTACATTAATTTTTATTATTTATTTTCAAATTTAAATTCACAAATTATTATATATATATATATATATCTATACTATATTATAAAGCATTTGACTAAAACTCTTAAAAACTCTTAAACTCTTAAACCCGTTCATCCCTATCCGATTTCATCCCATATCTGAATTCGTGTAACTAACTGCAAATAAACACAATCAAATACATGATAAACATCTCATTTTAAATATAAAAAATCTAAAATATAATTAGGATAATCATTAAGTTCTAACAGAATAATTAATTATTATTTTTATAAAATATTATATTATTAAACCAAAAATAAATTATTTCATTATTAAACTTAAATTAAATTATAATAAAAAAATAAATTAAAAAAATTACATAAAAAATGAAAACTTTTAAATAGTTGATTTGACATTAACATTGATATA